ATGAATGGCTGCAAACAGGGCTGTGTGCGTGTGTATGTGTGTGTGTGTGTGCACATGCGCACGTGTACGTCTACCCAAGCAGTATTCTCACTAAGCCTTTAAAAGTTCGTGTGAGTCAGAGGGCGTTATTATCAAGGAAGAGTTCATGGAGTAAGGGAGATTTCATTCACCGACAAAATGGGTGGAATTGGATGTGCGCCCAGACAAGAGGGCAAAGAAAGGATGCTCCCAGCGCAAGAACTCCCAAAATCAAAGACACAGACGGGGCCCCAAGGGCCCGTTTAGTGTTGCTGTGGGAACAGTGAGCCCAGGGCAGGAGCTGCAGTGGAGAAGTCATGGACGGGGACCATGGATGGTGGGCAACTGGGACGACACCTAGTGCTGGGACGACAGGCAGACAAGAACAGACTGGTGATGACTGATGTCAGGGATGCCTTCAGAGGGTTCTGAGCTGTGGTTGTTTACAGCTGGCAAGGGAGCTGGATCTGGCAGGGGAATGAGCAGGGTGAATTGGGTGAGGGGGCGTATGCTGACAGAGGAAAGAGGCCGAAAGAGAAAAGCAGAGGGAATTGCCGGCAGGACTGGACAGAGGACAGGAGATGTGTCCTGGAATAAACCAGGGTCCTCTCCTCCCATGACGTGGCCCCTTGACTGGAGTTTTCTTTCACTGTGTACTAAAGGAAACTTCTATTCCGAAATGAGTTCAAACCAGTTTTGTACCGTTTACCACACTGCACTTTGTTCTATAGAGTATTCTTTCTCATCTACTTGAGATGTCTCTCCATGGTCAGCCTCTGCAAACCCTGGCTTGGTGTAATCTGTCCTCCATTACAGCCTCTTTGCTGTGAACCCTCGTTTTGCCATCTGCTTGGTCTGCTGACTTGACAACCCTGCTTCTCTGCTTCCCAACCTGCCCTCTGCAGGGATACTGATGCTAGGGGTCTTTCGCCCCTTCCCAGAGCATCACTATCGCTGGTTCTGCCTCCCAAGCCTCCGTTATTCCTTCATTTTCTCCCCTAACCCAGAGGAAAGGGATGGAAGAAATGCTTTAACTGGAAACTCCTAGATTTGTGCACGATCAAGCATGCATGTGAGCCACTCTCCGTGGTCAAAGACAATGCCTGATTCCTTAGGTATAGTCTCTTTCTGTAGTAGAACTAGTGAATATTTACCACCTCTGTCACCAAAAGGGCATTTATAGTTTCTAGCTGGTAATGGGTCTTGGGTCCTGGTGTAGAAAGAACCCCAGGAAGTTCATGGGCTCACACTCAGCCCTCTGCAAGATGACAGTGCCACACTTTTCAACTTGGAACAACTATGTGCTTGGCTACCTATACCCCTGGTTTGGGGTGTGCAGTCAGGGCAGATTCCCTCATTGAAAAGAACAATGGGTATAATAACCAACAGACAAATGGCTCCAGGAAGCACAGCTCTCCTCTGAACATGGAACCAGGTATCTTTGCCGTGGAGAGTGGCTTACATGCATTCTTAATCATGCACACATCTAGGAGTTTCCTGTTAAAGCATTCCTTCCATCTCCTTTCCTCTGGATTAGGGGAGAAGATGAAGAAATAACAGAGGCCAGGAGGCCTGGGAGGCAGGATCAGGGATAGTGATGCTCTGGTGAGGGGCAGAAGACAACAAACATCTATCCCTGCAGAGGGCAGGTCAGGAAGCAGAGAAACAGGTTGTCAAGTCAGCAGACCAAGCAGATGGCAAAACCAGGGCTCACAGCAAAGAGGTTGCAACAGAAGACAGCATGGCATAGGACAGCTGGTGGAAACTGAAGGAACCCAGCTGATTTCGGGTCTGAGTCAAGGGACCCCCTTGTCCTTTCCACCCTCTGCCAGCAGCTCAGCTTTGAAACTGCCATCTCTGGCCATGTCTATACTCTGCAAAGCCTCCTGTGCAGGAACAGACTTCCTGGACTGTGCTCCAGTAATTCTTCCCTGATCCCAGCCGGAAACAGCCACAGAAGAGCCTTTCCTTTTGAAGTATGGCTGTCCTCCTCCTGGGCTTAAAAATGGTCCTCGGAGAAAGTTAGCTGGTAGAGTGGACTGTAATTTTATAGGTCTGGGGGCAAAGGTGTCATAGGGCTACCACAGCAAAATGCCGCCGACAGGGTTCATGCAGCAGACATGTATTTTTTTTTCTCACAGTTCTGGAAGCTGAAAGTCCCAAGCTGGGGTGCTGGCAGGTTATGAGGTCTCTCTCCTTGGCTTGCAGATGGCTGCCTTCTTGCTGTTTCTCCACTTGGTGGTCCTGCTGTGCCTACCACCCCTGGTGTCCCTCTGTGTGTCCAGATACTCTCTTCTTCTTTTTTTTTTTTAATTTTCATAGGAAAAATTTTTATTTAAAAAAATTCTTTTTTCAAACTTTAAACTTTTTGTTTTGGGGTATGGCGGATTAACAATGTTATTATAGTTTTAGGTGAACAGTGAAGGGACTCAGCCATACATATACATGTATCCATTCTCCTCCAAATTCCCTTCCCATCTAGGTTGCCGTATAACATTGAGCAGAGTTCCATGTGCTATACAGTAGGTCATTGTTCACCATCCATTTTGAATTTAGCAGTGTTTCTGTGACGTTCCCAAACTCCCTAACTATCCCTTCCACCTGGCAATGATAAACTGGTTTTTTAAGTCTGTGAGTCTCTTTCTGCAAGTCTCTTTCTGATACAAAGTTCATTTGTATCATTTCTTTTTAGATTCCACATATAAGGGATGTCATATGATATTTCTCCTCTGTCTGATATTTCACCCAATATGACACACTCTAGGTCCTTCCATGTTGCTGCAAATGGCATTATTTTCTCTTTTTCATGGCTGAGTAATATTCCATTGTATATATGGAGCACATCTTCTTATCTATTCCTCTGTCAATGGACAGTAGGTTGTTTGCATGTCTTGCTATTGTAAACAGTGCTGCAGTGAACACCTGGGTGCATGTATCCTTTTGGATCATGTTTTTCTCCAGATACATGCCCAGGAGTACCATTGCATCACATTTACTCTCATGGTAGCTCTATTTTCAGTTTTTTAAGGAATCTCCATACTGTTCTCCATAATGACTGTACCAGTTTACATTCCCAGCCATATTGAATTAGGAACTACCCAAAGGGCCTTGTTTCAACTCAGTCATCTCTTTAAACATCTTATCTCCAAACACAGGTTCTTAGGAAATGGGGTAAGGGTTTCAACATATGAATTTTAAGGTAACAATTCAGACCTTGCCAGGTGGCCTAACGGAATCTTTACTTGAAGCTGATAACCATCAAAGGTAACTTTATTGGGTGTTACTATGTGTCAGCGACTGTTCTGGGCATTTCTCCTGTAATATTACATCTCATCTCCACTTTTACAGATTGTGTAATTATCAGTTCAGTTCAGTTCAGTTCAGTCGCTCAGTCGTGTCCAACTCTTTGCAATCCCATGAATCGCAGCACACCAGGCCTCCCTATCCATCACCAACTCCCAGAGTTTACTCAAACTCATGTCCATCGAGTCGGTGATGCCATCCAGCCATCTCATCCTCTGTTGTCCCCTTCTCCACCTGCCCCCAATCCATTGGAAAGGGGTCTTTTCCAATGAGTCAACTCTTCACATGAGGTGGCCAAAGTACTGGAGTTTCAGCTTCAGCATCAGTCCTTCCAATGAACACCCAGGACTGATCTTCTTTAGGATGGACTGGTTGGGTCTCCTTGCAGTCCAAGGGACTCTCAAGAGTCTTCTCCAACACCACAGTTCAAAAGCATCAATTTTTCGGCGCTCAGCTTTCTTCACAGTCCAACTCTCACATCCATACATGACCACTGGAAAAACCATAGCCTTGGCTAGATGGGCCTTTGTTGGCAAAGTAATGTCTCTGCTTATCAATATGCTATCTAGGTTGGTCATAGCTTTCCTTCCAAGGAGTAAGTGTCTTTGAATCTCATGACTGCAGTCACCATCTGGTGTCAATTATAATTAATCCTAGATTATAGATTGTGACCTCCTTTTCTGAAATGCAGTCAGCTTAATTTGGTGGAACTGTGTGCCCTAGTGACCACCACACCTCAGGCCACGACCTGGTCCCTATGATCTGCTGTGACCAGGATGAATGGGAGAACCTCATTACCCTGCTCTGCTTGGTAGATGTCTGGAAAGTGCGACGCTACCTTTCTCCATTTGTCATCTCCCCCTGTCCCAGCAGGTGATGGGACAGCACACGTGAGAAGTTCAGCCTTGACCCCCACTCCCTCACATCCACAGAGCAAAGACTCCACCCTCTTTCTTGGGCGGGCAGAATCATCCCACTTAAGACTGGAAACTGTTATCTCAAGGAATCAGGCAGGAAAGGATGATGGCGCACTCTGCCAGGGAGGCATGCAGTCCCCTACCGGGGTCTCTGATATGTAAGAAGCTCAGCACATCCTGGAGCGCCTCTGAGCAAACAAGCTAGACACCTGTACCAAGGTCTTCTCATTTAATCACCCATCACCTCTGAAAAAGCTATTCTTATGCCTGTTTACAGAGAAGGAAACCGAAATGAGAGGGGCCCCACCCTTCCCCCGTGTAACCTTGAGCCACATACTTAACCTCTGTGGGTGGGTCTCACTGGCCTCACCTATAAGAGCAATGCTTCCTCTCATATGCCCTGTAGCTTGGCAGCTTCCTGGCCAGTAAGGGACATTTCCGTCTATCTGTTTCCAGCACCACCCCAACATAACATGTGTGTACTGTGTAACCATTCTTCTTGGCCTCAGCCTCTCCACCCTCCTTTCTGGGGGACCCAGCCTACAGAACCAACAGAGGCACACACTCCCCATCTCCATTCCATGGCCCAGACTCCCTCCTCACCCAGGGTCACCTGCAAAGAACACATCAAGCTTGCATAACTGTGAGCCAGACAGCCCCTCCGGTAGCCCTGGGCCAGCCCGCCGGTCCCCAAGGAGGGTAGTGAAGAGTGATGCCGACTAAAGAGTGACCTGGGGTTCTGTGTCCTTCTCTGCCCTCCAGGAGGCTCTGTCGGTGGTGAGCGACGACCAGTCCCTCTTCGACTCTGCATACGGAGCGGCGGCCCACCTCCCCAAGGCCGACATGACCGCCTCCGGGAGCCCCGACTATGGCCAACCCCACAAGATCAACCCCCTCCCCCCGCAGCAGGAGTGGATGAACCAGCCCGTGAGGGTCAACGTCAAGCGCGAGTATGACCATATGAACGGGTCCAGGTAAGCCTGCTGGGCCCGTGCTGCCGGGATGGGACCGGGGGAGGCTGGAGGCCTGGGGCTGAGTCAGAGATCTGGCGGGAAGTGTGTCTGCAGCAGATGGAGCTCTGGTGCTGGGCCGGGCGACTGAGCCAGGCTTTAGTGAGCTGGGGTGAAAGGGCTACTTGGGGTGGGGCAGCACAGAGCCAGGAAGCCCTCTGGTTCTCTGGGCCTCAAAGCAGCTCTCAGGCCCACGACACTAACAGGCACTTTTGTAACACCTGCTTTATGTCAGACCCAGGCACAGCCCCTCTTGGGGATAATTCAGTAATAAGATACTCTTCTGTTTCTTGTTGAAGATATTTGACCTCTCTGGGTGGGTCTCATCAGGTCAAAGATCAGCAAACCATCCTTTGATTTAAAGTCTAGGATGATGACAAAGATGAACAAACCCGAGGGCTCCCTGTGTGAGGGAGGGCACGCTTGGAAAGTGGGTTGGGAGTCAGTGCTGCCCAGGGCCGGTAAGACTTTGCTCGTAGAGATGGACAGGAGAGGACCGCAGAGAGGGACAGCACACCCGGGGGCTGGGCGGCCCAGGCTGGAGTCCTGGCTCTGCCTGTGGACCAGTCACTGCTCCCTTTGAGGACCAGCTGCCTCCTTTCTGCACGGCTTGAGCATCACTTCCCCATAGGCTTGTTACAAGGGTCGACCCTGATACTATAGGAGTAGTGTCCCAGGGCAGGGCCCAGGAAGTGACCCATCCCAGGACTCAGAAAGTGCTGGGCTATCCTGAGGGTGACTGTCACGAGTGAAGTTTGAAAGTCAAGAAAATGACTTCACAGAATGTCAGGCAAGTGCAGGGAGATGAAAACAGAGACCAAGAGAGCCCTGATTGGCTGGTTAAGAAAACAGGGCATTTATTCCACATGCAGATGCCGATTTGACATGACATTTGAACATCATCAGACCTGTGACTGAACACTTGAAAGCTGGGCATCATTGTATACAGAGAGTGGGGGAGGGGCGTGGGGAGAGTCAGAAAGATAAGAAGTTAGTGAAATATTCCCGGTAGAAAATTACAAAATTCTGAACTAGAGTCATGGCACTGATTGTGGAAATGAAAAGGGGAAGACACATGAGGGACATATCAGGGGGATAATTAACAGGACTCAGGTTGATAAATATTGCACTGGGGGCGGTGGGAAGGGGTTTGTGTGAGGAAAGAATCGAAGATTAGCAAAGGTTGGGTGTTTTCCAAAGATGGTGCCGGTGGCATCCCCAGGGGTGGGAGGAGGAAAAGCTTTGAGAAAGGATGTCAGCACTCCTGTGAGATGCATCAGGAGCCATCAGTAAGTAGGACATCAGATAAAAATGTCTATGCGGCACTGGAAACAGAAAATCAGATACTACTGGGGATGCAGTTGGAATTTAGACTTGGGCATCATCACTAAAGAGTTCTACCTGTGCTGGCAGATGAGGTCATGGAGCAGACAAGACTAGAGAAAGCAGAAGGGGGTGCTCATGTGGTGGGCAGCCCCCCAGAAGGTCCTGGTCTCAGACCTGCCTGTGAATACACCTGGCCCCATCACACTCCAACCCCACTAACCAACACCAGCCCCTGGGATCCCGGCCACCTTGCTGGGCTAGAGGATTTCAGGGAGGCTTAGGGGTCCTGAGCCAGGAGCCCTTCTGGTGAGTCCCTCCACAGAGATGATGAGGGTACTGACTCACTCTCTGTGGAGGGAAGTCAAGAGTTTGTCAATCTTTCCACAACGCTATTTGCTCTCCATCTGCCTCCCATGAGGTCCATATTGTATTTACATCTTGACCTAGAGAGGCCTGGCATGCTGCAGTCCATGTGGTCGCAGAGTCAGACACAACTTAGCGACTGAACAACTAGAGAGACACATTGGGCTTTGAGGGGGTAAATGACTTGCCTAAGGATTCAAAGGTGCAGTGAATCCTTTTCAAAGGTGCAGAGCTGGCCCTGCACCCCAGCTCTCTGATCCTGGCCCTGTGGCCACTCTTTCCATCCCCTCCCCACCCACCTGCACCCACCCCACACGTGGACAGCATTCAGCAAGGCCTCCCACACGGGCCTGACCACAGCGCCCAGTGCTTGCTGACAATCCAGACTCACCCTTGAACAAGCTGGAGCCTGAATCCAACCCTCGCTCACCTCCACCGCCCACCCATCAAAGCCAGCAGCACTTCTCCTTCTAGGCCACCTGGGAGCCTCCTCCTTCTTCCCCTTCCTCCTCTTGTCTTTCTGACATCTCCTCATCAGACAGCAGCCTGAGTCTTCTTTTCAAAACATTTACCTTTCTTGCTCAAAATCCTTTAATGGCTTATGCTGCAGGGAAGCCTCAAGCACTGCAATACATGAATCCTGGGCAGAGGAGGTCCCCCCAGAGAAATCAGTTTTCAGAACCCCCTCACCAGTTCCACCGAGGCTCCTCCCATCACACCAGACGCCAGCTGGAGGGGAGCTGCGTGAAGACCCCAGAGACCAGACGTGGTATCTACCTGGCTCTGGTTTCACAAAGCAGCCCCTGCTTTTGATCTGCCGGTCTTGACCAGGGCCAGGAGCTGGTGACAGCGTAGGTTCAGAAACTGATGTCTCTTCGCCCCTCCTGGGAAACCAAGATGATGCAGTGGACTCTTGAGAATCAGGCAGGCTAGGTCTAGACATCACCAGCACCTCATAAACATCTCCTAAGTGCTCACATGGATGCTGAAGTGGTGGGCAGCAGGGAGCCAGGGTTTTCAGGAAAAATGTCTTTGCTTAGGATGGAACCTGGTCAGATCCCATTCTTGGATCACGCAACAGAGAAGCGGCATGATGAAGCAGATGCCGCCCTATTTAAATCTCTCACCTGTCACGCTGTGCCTCTGTCCTCTCAGTACCACTGATGATGTGCTTTTAATGCAGAAGATAGTTCCTAACTTCAGGTGAAGAAAACCAGAGTGTAAAACTTGGGATTTCTTGGCTCACACACTGAATCTATGCTCTCCGAGGCAGTAGCCACTGCTCACATTGGTTGCTTTGGAGCACTTGAAGTATGACCTATCCAAAATGGGCATGTGCTTGATGTGTATGTTAATGCACTGGCTTTAGGAGACTTAGTGTAGGAAAAAAGTGAAATATGTCATTATTTTTTTTATATTGATGATGTTGAAATGATCTTCAGGCTGTATTGAATTAATATATTTTAATATATCATTAAAATTAATTGTATCTTTTTTATTTTAAAAATGTGGCTACTAGAAAATGTTACATTGTATATGTGGCCCCTTCCACTGGACAGGGCTGGGCTAGAGTGTTTTGGACCGACTCAGGGTTTCCCTGGTGGTTCAAACTGTAAAGAAGCTGCCTGAAACGCAAGAGACCCTGGTTCGATCCTTGGATCAGGAAGATCCCCTGGAAGAGGGCATGGCAACCCACTCCAGTATTCTTGCCTGGAGAATTCCATGGACTGAGGAGCCTGGTGGGATATAGTCCATGGTGTCGCAAAGAGTTAGACATGACTGAGCCACTAACACATTTGTGGTACTTTGTTATGGCTGCCCTAGCAGATCAACAAAGTACCCAAAGATGTATTTCTCTCTTCTTTTCATGATTCACAGTGAATTCTCCCCACATTCTCCGATAACTTGAAATTCTGAGTTACTTGATGCTTATCAGAGAGCCTACAGGTATTCATGTCTCTAGAGGAGGTATTTGTGTGCCTGAAGCTACAAGGTCCTTCTTGCTTCTGATGCTGCCAGTAAGTCATTCAGACCAAGGCACAGGGGCCAGTGGGGAGACCGAGATCTGAGGAGCTCACAGAAATTCGAGCTTGCCCACGTTGGGGCAGGTTCACTCCCTTCCTCCCTGCCTTCCGCTTGTGGTTGAATCTGCTACCATGAATTGTTCTTCAAACGGTGCGACCCACAGGCTCTGTGCTGGATGTAGACTTTAGCAAGATGATCCAAGCTGTGGTCTGCAACTAACTCTCAGCTGCATCCTGTCTCAACCACGGGTTTGGGGGAAAACATCCCATGAAGGAAAAAAAAATATATCAACTTACGGAGGGGAATGGCAAAGACTTGCTTGCCAGAGTTGCTGGACCAGAGTTCACTGTTAGTCTGCCCTGACGCTGCCTAGGCTGGCCAGCAGGATCCAATGCCCTTATTAGATACCTACAGACTTAACTTCCACACACAGGAGGGCCAGCCTCACACACCCGGTCACTTCTGCTTCTGACGGCACAGTCCTGTGCTAAAGTGCCTTCTAACACTCTGAATCTTGCAATGAGAAGCATGTCAGGCAGAAAGCTGAGAGGAGGGGGTACTCAGGATTCTGGAGAAGCTGTGAGCATCTACTAAGTATAGAGTGAGAGCTTTACTATGGGTGATTTCTTTTCTTGAAGTTTGCTTTTGCATCTCCTTTTCAAAAGCAAAAAGGTCACATATACACATCTCTCCATGGCTCCTACAGAAATCCTGAAGACAACACAGATTGGTGCGATTTCCGCAGTACACACATGATGTAGAAGGCACGCCAGATATTGCTAATGCTCCAATAGCCCTGGGGACTTCCTGTTAGCTGTGTGGACATTGGGTATCCATCACTGTAAGCCTGGGCTGCAGACCTGTGGGTCTGGATCCCATACTCTGAGTAAAGTTGCTCTCAGTTGAACCAAAAGGTAGGGAAGATGTTCGCATATTTGAATGGGATTATCTTCAGGTAATTGGGCTTCCCTGGTGGCTTAGTGATAAAGAGTCCGCCCACCAATGCAGGAGCCACAGGAGACGCAGGCTCAATCCCTGGGTGAGGAAGATCCCCTGGCAGAGGAAACGGGAGCCCACTCTTGTATTCTTGCCTGGAGAATCCCAGGGACAGAAGAACCTGGCAGACTATGGTCTATGGGGTCACAAAGAATTGGATACAACTTAGTGACTGAACGACAACAGCAATCTTCAGACAAGGCCTTTGAAATCTCCTGTTATCCAAATGCTCAAAGATTTCTCATTGTGTTTTAAATCATTTGAGAGTCTGCGAGGCACTGTTGGAAACCAGCAGCCGGCTTTTTAAAGCAATGGTTCCTGAACACAGAAATAAAACCAGAAGAGTAAAGACCTTATGTCCTTTGGTGAAAATAAAGGACAAGGCTGCAGGGCCCACCTGGCCTTTGCCGTGGCCTCCAGCGTGTGGCTTTCTGAGCCACGGCTGAGCAGGACATGCTCTGAGGTACACTTTCAGAGCCACCACCTCCTCCCCGCTCCACTGAGGCAGCCCCTGGCTCTCCTGTCACCTGTCCAGCGCTGTCAGCTGCCTGCAGACCCCAGCCCCATGCTAGCTGTAAGCACAGGTCTCAATACAAGTCAGCAGCAAAGTGGCCAGGCTGAATGGCAAAGCCTCCCCCCTCCATGCGTGCACCCCTTGTTTTCTTTGGTCCTCTCCACAGGCGCCAGCTGCCTCGTTTTAGAGCAGCCTTTATGCTGTGCTTCACCTGTACTCCCGGCTCCTTCCAGTAGCTGGCTGGGCCCTTGGGAGGCCTGTGCTGTCTGCCAAGGCGCAGAGTCCCGCCACCCCAGAGTGGAATGGAGGGCGGCAGGTGGATGGGGAAGGCTGGGCTCTCCTTCCTTCTCTCCCAGGAGTCAGAGGAGGGCCGGCCTGCACAAGGCGGAGGTCCAGGGTGAGGGCCAGGACGTCTCTCTTAGGGTACCCCTTTGCAGAGTCTGGGATCAAAGACAGAGTCTTGTTCCAGAGGACAAGCACCCAGGCAGGTGGGTGGCAAGCAAGCAGATCACCTTGCCCTGCTGGGGAGCAGGTGCAGCTGAGAACACGGGAGTGGGAGGAGAGAGAGGAGGGCACAGAAGCGTGGGAGCGCGCGTGGGAGCACCTGTGGGACCGGAAACGAAGAGTTCCCAACCACTGGACGACCCCCGTGGTCACCCGAGCTGGAAGGCCCCAGGCTTGACCCTGTTCAGACGTCTTCCCCAGGCCCCCCCAACCCCCACCCAGCAGGTGCCTTTCTCACCAAGGTGCTCAGACTCCTTACCGGGAGAGGTACCAGGCAGCTTTTACTAAACGATTCCTTTATTCAAATTTTTATTTTTCTCTCCTCCTGGTACCAGTGACTGGCCCTGCCCCGGGGCACCGATGGCATAAGGGGCCATTTCATTGCAATGCTTTCTGAAGTCCAACTTCTCACCTCTGAGTGGCCAGAGTTGTGTTCTGGGCTCAGAAATCCCCAGAGGCCCAGCTGATGGTGGAAAAGAATGTTCACAGCTCATCTATTTCTCCGATGTTCCCAAAGAGAGATGCGGCCCACGGAGGGCAAGTCCCCTTCCGCCACGCCTGCTCACCGCCCACCGCCCCCAGACCCCGCCCCCTTGCAGAAAAGTGTTCTTGTCTGCTCCGCCGGGAAGCGTGTGCTCTGGCCGCCCCACCCTCGGCATGGCCTCTCCCAGCCGGTGAAAACGTTGCTCTCTTGGTTAAAGGCCAACTTAATCCTCCAAACTTCGGCTGCACTTGGGTTGTTTCACAATGGGCAAGTATGCTGGGGAAGGATGCCAGGCCGTGGTGGTGGGGGTGTGTGTGTGTGCGGGTGCGAGCGTGTGCATGCGTGCATGCGTGTGTGCGCGCCTGCATGGGTAGCGTATGTGCCCGTGTGCGTGTGACTGCACCGGTGGCGTCGGCGCCTGTGTGCGCATGCGCCCACTTGCGGTTTGCTTGGACTAGGGTGGGGGGGGACCCGGCCAGCTCCACCGGAGCTCAGCTCAGACGCGGGACCGGGGTCTTTCCAGGACTGCTTCATCTCAGGCCAAGTCCTGCTTCAGCAGAAGCCAAAGGGCCAAACCCTGGTGCAAAGCCCCGAAGTGCTACTGCCGCCCCTCAGACTGCCATGGGGACATTAAACCTTCAACAATCTGGGGCTCCGACGGCTGGTTCTTGGTTCTCTGCCTGGAAAAACAGTAGGCGAATAGTAAAACCTTAAATTCTAACATGTGTAAGTTATACATCTTATTTTCATTTTCAGCCCATGTTCCCCTCTGTAAGACATCAGGAAAAAATTACCGTCTGACTTCTAATATCTCAGTGGAGCATTTATCTCCCAGCTATGATAAGTGATCTTCAATATTTTTTTCCTTTCAGATTAAGAAACAAATTCATTTAATTTTCTTTATTGAATGTGCTCTGGCCTCCCCCCTCCCCTGCCGTGTCCCCATGGGCTCCCTCCCCTCTCCTCTCAGGCTCAGAGACCATTGCTTGCCTGCCCTCCGCGTTGCTGCCTTTTCAGGATGGGCGGGCCCATCTGGCACAACCCTGCTCCTCGCCTGCTTCTTTAGACTTTGGCATGGTCTGTTCCTGCCCACAGCAGAGAGAGGGAGCGCAGCGGCCAGACCTCTGGAAAGCCGTTCGAGGTTCTGCAGCCCAGAGTTGGCCGGCTGTAATCTGAACCTTATCTGAACTCCTGGGTCTGAGGGCCTGGTTTGGAGCTCTTGTGAAGACTGGCTGTCTCCCAGGTTGCCAGAACTGATGCTTCCTGCTCTGGATAACCAGGAGGGTGGGGTGGGAAAGCGGCAGCCTCTCCTTGGTCTCTAGTCATCTCCCTCAGCCCTGGCGCAAGGGGAGTGGCTGAGCAGAAGTGTCAGGGCAGGATAACACAGCCCTAGGCACACCAGCAGAGTCTGTGGCCCGGGCTCTCGGTAGGTGGTGTGTTTTGCCAGCCTGCTGAGGCCCCAGGTGGCCACAAGGGAGATGTCAGCTCCATCTCCAGACACATAGATGCTCCTTGCTGAATTGAAGCCCTGTGCTCCCATGTTGCAAAATAACAGGGGCTAACCATGTACTTCTCTGGTTTTCTTAACCATAGGAAAGAGCTGCTAACCTTTGTCATGTCTGACCTGGAGGGTGATGGGGAGATTCAAGTAGAACACTGTATGAGAAGCACATTGAAATGATATACATGCAATAGTAATGAGTGATTCAGGACTCGGTGATTGTTCAACCCCTCTGGAAGGCACTGTAGAGGATTGCTGTTGTTGTTTAGTCGCTAAAATGTGTCTGACTGTGCAACCCCATAGACTGTAGCCTGCCAGGCTCCTCTGTCCATGGAATTCTCCAGGCAAGAATACTGGAGAGGGTTGCCATTTCCTTCTCCAGATTCCCAACCTAGAGATCGAACCTGAGTCTCCTGCACTGGCAGGCAGATTCTTTACTGCTGAGCCACCAGGGAAGCCCACTATGACAGGAGGCCTGAAGTGAAAAAAAAAAGAAAGCCATGGCACCAATCCAGCCAGGGGAAGGGCACCTGCCAGGCTAACCATCCCACAGTGTGACAAGTCCGCGAGCCACGGCCGAAACAGGGTGCACTGGGAGTGGGGAGAGCCTGTCTGGGAGCCAGGTCCAGTGCCTGCGCCTAGGGAGGCTAGGTCACCTGGCAACAAGGCTAAAAGTGTCAGCTGCAGGCAGAGCCGAGCTCAGAGGTCCAGACTCCAGTCTGAGGGCAGTGAGGCTGCCAGAAAGTGTTTAAGTACCGTAATTATAGGATGGGGCTGGGATTTGGAGAAAACTAGTGGCCGTGTGGATGGAAACAAGGCAGCGTCAGCAGCAGCCCTGTCGCCCTCGTTCCGCCCGGCAGGGCTGGGCAGAGGCCACACGGATGCGCCGGTGGCAGAGGCGACAGTAACACTGATGACTTCTCTGGGCGTTGTCTCTTCTCGCTCCAGGGAGTCTCCGGTGGACTGCAGCGTCAGCAAATGCGGCAAGCTCGTGGGCGGAGGCGAGTCCAACACCATGAGCTACAACAGCTACATGGACGAGAAGAACGGCCCCCCTCCCCCCAACATGACCACCAACGAGAGGAGAGTCATCGTCCCTGCAGGTACTTTGGGAACCCTTTCACTGGGTGCCACCCTCACCCCGTCTTCTGAGCTAGTCGTCCTTGGGGCGGGGGCATCTACATCTTCACCTGGTACCCTGTTCTCTCTGGAAATGCTTACCTGGGAAAGCTGCACCTTCTTCCCTGGCCGTCCTCCAAGACAGTTTCCCAAATGTCACTGGAACCCTGATGCACAGATTCGGGAAGCCCCGCCCTCAACAGGTCACATCATACTTTCTTCCCTCCGTGCCTGGTTCCACGGATGAGGCCTGCCGAGAGAGGAGAGGCAAGATCTTCTGAACCCAAAAGGAATCCTGGGAACACCCAGACATGCCCACCCTTGCCTTTAAGGACAAGAGTGGCTCGGAGGTCTGTCCTGTCCATCAGGCATGCACTTCCTGGCACCCGCAGGGTCCCACCTTTCCAGAATTACAGCCATCTCTTCCAGGTCCAAAATAGAAACAACTATATTTAACACAAGGAGTGCCTGAACATGTGTGCAGCACGCTTTGTCATTCTGTAAAAATAGGCTATTTTCCCTAGGTATCGGTGCTGTTGGTCACAGAAAATAAAATCATTGTTCAGGCCTTCTGTGTGCTGGCTGGACACCGGCCTCGGCTGGTGAGCTCAGTTGCCTGCTTGAAAAGGGAGGAGAAACTGCCCCGTGCAGAGTCCGTTCCAGGTAGAAGGAGCCAGAGTGTTCAAATTTGAGGCAGTCAGTGACTTACCAAATTAAGTTTACCCGAAAGGCAAACCCCTTCCATTTGGGAAAGTGTAAATGCAGTTGTGGATGAGAGCCAAGGATTAGATGTCCCTTTGAGGTAATCCAGAGGAATTTGCGGGTCGGTCTAGAAGGTGTGGTTCTGTAACAGGCCGCTCCGTCCTCGGCCCTCTGTATGTCCTTTCCATGGGAAGCTGTGTGTCACCATCTAGGACTACAGACACATGTTGTGCTCCAGGCCAGACTCCAGGTGGCAGGGGCAGGAGGGGTGGGGACAGGTGAGGCCGGGGAGGGGTGGGCTCTCAGGAACTTCTCTGTGCCCTGCAGGACTTGAAAACTGTTCATAAAGCATGTTCGTTTCCTTCTTCCATAAACATTTGGCCTCCCAGAGGAAGAGGAAGAATGCTCCATATACTGAGTGCCTCCTGGTGCCGGGCACTCTGCAAACAGCTTCATCCTTGTGATGTTACTTCTGTCTCTAACATCGAGAAAGAAGCATTTGTATCTGATCTCCCGTCCCTCAGGACACCAGCTCGGCATGTTTAGCTCAGGTGCTTCTGTGAGAGCCAAGAGAACTGTGCCTTCTCCCTTCTCATAGAAAGAAGGCAGAAATGAAACTGAGCTAAAACTGGCCTGGAGAGAAACTTCTGGACTCCCCACATTGGAACCAAGCCTCTCCAAGCATTTGCTCACTTGGAACCAAACTCTACCCCCCCTCACCCCCGCTTCTCTCAACAGTGGCCAACATGGGGAGGAAATCTTGAGGACAGAAGAGTTAGGGGGCCAGAGGTTGTCTCTGAAGCAAATGTTGACAGCATCTCATTTCTGAAGTCACTTTGGGGAGAAGATAGGGGAAAGAAGGAGGGGGAATGACCAGACTGGTTGACCCTTCAACTCTGAAGTGGTGTTGAAGTACTTTTGAAAAGATAATCAAGGTGGCAGTCTTAGGGGGCCAAGGTCACCAGAGCAGTAATAGTGAAAATAGCATAAATTCCCATCAAAGAATGTTCCAAGTACTTTGTGTCATGGATCCACTAGCCAGGGCTTCATTTCATTACTTTACTCCTGGCGGGATCTTGCAGCATTATCCTCACACGTTTTGGCTTACTCCTGGTCAGCCTCCTAGACATAAGAGAAAGTCTCACAAATCAAAGCCATAAAACATCGGTGGAACAACCCATTGGATTTATGGTGGGATTTGAAGACAAGCATAAACGAGGGCCCTAGTTCATCACCAGTTCCAAGTTCAGATGGGAAGAAACCAGGACTAAATCATCCAGGAAATACATTTGGAAGAGCTTAGCATGCTCCAGAGTGGAAGATTTATAATTCATTGTGCTGTAAAGGGAGAGAAATAATATTGTGATAGAGCCCAAAGCAAGGGCGGAAATAATAAAAATAAATAAAACCAACAGTGTAAAATTGAATTGGAGGCCTTGGATATTTAAAGTGAGGAATTAGGAGAAGCAGAGGAGAGCTGATGAAATAATATGTGACATAATCCAAGCTCCCCCAGGACATTTTTCTTTAGAATTCTGAAATGGTGCAAAATCATTTCCATTTACCAATGGTCCATGCCTAATTGTTCTTGGAGAGTAAAAGAGTGAAACAAAGCAAGAAATTTATGTGCGAAACAGAGAAGGAAAGAGCTCCAGACTTGTACCATGAAGCCCTGAGTGGCTCTGCTTTTGGAAGTGAAGGCAAAGCACCTCCTGAATGAACTAAGACAGGATGGGGAGAGGGGAGAGGGGAGGAGACTGGGGGTTCAGGGACCCTCAGCTAAGAGCAGTCCTGGGAGGCTTTCAGTCGAACCCCAGCTCATACTGGGATTAAAGGTCAAGTTGAGGACTTAATGTTTCAGGACTCCACTTCCCACCTGTGAAATGAAGATAACAGCCATTGAAAAATAGCACACCTGAAGCAGTGGGCACCTAGAAAGTGTTCAAAATCCAGACTGTTACAAGTTTCTGGGCACTGGGTGGTTAGTATGAACTCTGCTTCTCGCCCCACGGCCCTTCCTAATCATTCAAACCTACTCCCATTTTTACCAAGAGCCTTAACAGACCCTTAGAATGAGAAAGTGAGGTGGTGGAGAGGTAGCATAGATATTCCTACAAAATGAGCAGGCTAATAAAACAGGTTCAGTAGAAGATAGGGGCTAATAAGTCTCCTCCCCTCCTCCAGGAAACCTTCCATGATTGCAAATTCATAGTCACCCCTTTTGCCGACCAGTCCTCACACTGCCACCACAAAAATCTGTTGCCTAATTCTGTGCTTTCCTGCCTGAGTTTTCATGGGCATGGGTCTTCCATGAGGGCAAGACCCATGTAACTTTCTTCTCTGATGAGCATGTTTAACTGTTTGTCGGACTCTGTAATAATTAGGTGCTAAGGAAAGAGCTGGTTATCAAATTGTGATATGTAACGATATAAGGGCTCCACCTACTGTGGAACCTGCTAGAACTCATCACAGCACTCAGAGTACACACGTTCCCCCCCGCCACACACACACCTGTTTAGGAAGGAGTCTGAGTGTCCCAAGTGGAGATCTAATTCCTTGAGTTCCTAGGACCTCAGCCCTTACATTATTTATCCTCAAGAGTGAAAACATTTTCTCCCTCCAACACCATTTCCCGTCTTTGGGGATCCTAAAAATTCTGGGGGGATGGTTTTAAAGAACTTCCAATACAACTATCCCCAGAAGGAGAAAACCCAATTGGAGTTAAGCTGAAGACTTAACACCACTGGTTTTCCACCTGCAGAGATGGAATTGCGGTCTAAGTGTCCATGCATGTCTTTTCTGCAGCCATAGGAGAGATTGCTGTTGCTCCATGAAATCACTGATGTTCTTAAGATATGGATGGTGGCCCTTTCCAGAGCCATTGGTCCCTGCTCTAGGCAACTGGGCTTATTTTCATTCTGATGCCATGATTTCTCAGGCAGAGGTTTCAGTTGCCCTCCAATGACTTCAAAGAGAACATCCTGTCTGGGTGCATAGTTTTGCGACTAAGAACTTCTCAGAGTGCTAAGTGGCTCAGGCAGCACCAGATGCGATGGAGCCAGATGGGTGTTCTGGGAGGACCATCTGGGGCGGAGGTCGGAGGGGACCACTTTCCCTCTGCGGGAGGGGCTCTGAGGAGGGAGGAGAAAGGTCGAGGTGGGGAGAGAGAGAAGAGACAGCCAGACTGAGAAGGGGAGGAGCTCTGCCTCTGGCAGCCTTGCTAACAGCCTGTCCCTCCTGCAGACCCCACGCTGTGGACACAGGAGCACGTGCGGCAGTGGCTGGAGTGGGCGATAAAGGAGTATGGCTTGATGGAGATCGACACATCTTTCTTTCAAAATATGGACGGCAAGGAACTGTGTAAACTGAACAAGGAGGACTTCCTCCGAGCCACCTCCCTCTACAACACGGAAGTGCTATTGTCACATCTCAGCTACCTCAGGGAAAGTAAGTGCCTGGTGCCTTCCGTTTCTGGGCAGCGAAACACCCCCAGAGGCTGTAGTGCCAAGTCCCCAGGGCTGGAGAAAACTCTGCCTGGCCTCTCAGGATGCAGACTGGTTCCCACAGTGACAGCCCAGGGCAAGGAGATAGGGTCCCTGCCTCGGTTTATGCTGGGCGGGTGCTATAGGAGCGGCACCTCTGGGTGTCATGTTGCCAAGGTCACACTGGGTCTGAGGGACTCTGCGAGGGGGCTGACCCACTCCTGCCATGTCAAAGGAAGGAAAACAAAACGTGAGGAAAAACTACGGAACTGCCACCATGTCTGTGTGTGTTGAGTGGCAGGTCTGCTGGAGGCTGGTCGCACCCTTCCCAAGAGAATCCCTTTCTGGAAGCTATTTTGCCCCACATTATAGATAGATGGATGCCCTGGCTGGTTCTATCTTGAGCAATGATTTCAGGTTCCTACAAAATTCTAGATTCATGGGTTTACGTTTTTGAACATTTACACATGAAGTTCTACTTATTCTTGGGTTTTCTCTGGCACTGCCCGCTGTTACCTACACACCCTTCTCAGCTAAACAGGAAGAGTAGCAAATGCTACGGATGGGTTAGGATCTGTTGGAGACTCTCCTGGCAGAGTGAGAAGGAAAAGAGCTTTGGAAAGGGAGAATCTGTAAAAGAAAAGGCTCAGTTGTCCAAAGGATTTATCCAGTATGAGGATTTTCTGAAACTAAGCCCCGTCAATTTGATATGAATTTCATTTGATATGAAATATACACAGAGATAGGAACAGAATTTTGATAAACCCACTAATAACCTCAGCCTTAACTCTTTACCAGACAAGTGTAAGTCGTTCAGTCATGTCCAACTCTTTGTGACCCCATTGGACTGTATAGCCCGCCAGGCTCCTCTGTCCATGGACTTCTCCAGGCAAGAATACTGGAGTGGGTAGCCATTCCTTTCTCCAGGGGATCTTCCCCACCCAGGGATTGAACTCGGGTCTTCTGCATTGCAGGCAGATTCTTTACCGTCTAAGCCACCAGGAAAGCCCCAAGCAGGTGGAACATCGATAACCCCAAGTACAAAAGGACTGTTCTGTGACCAGAAAAGATGGTACTAAGATGGGGAAGTGGAAGCTACAGGAGAACAGAGGTGGTTCATCGTACAAGGGGTTTTCTAGAAGTCAGCCCTGTCCGAAGATCCACCGGCAGCCTCAGGATGCCGGGTTTGCTGTCTGCGGTCAGGGCCGCAGGGGTTCAGCCTCACAGTGAAGGAGGTTGGTGATTTGAAAGCCCCTTTAAAACTGAAATCCTTGGACAGCATTTAAAGGCCGCTTTTCCTGGTCTCCTGGGCTCTGGGTGTTAGTTCTTCGTTTGTTTTCCGTGTTCAGTGTATCTTCAGCTCGCCATTCCTGGAACCTTCTATCTCCTTCTGCACCAGTGCACCCTGCGGGGTGGGGTGGGGGGCAACACACACTGGCTGTAAAAACGAAGAACTTTTAAAATGCCTTCGGAAGTTTCCACTGGTGCCTCCGGGCTCCCCGGTCACCCCTCCGAGGCGTCTGGTAGGCAGTGGGATTGTGTGGGTGATGCAGTGTATGTTAACACCAGAGGAATTACCTCATGTCTGAGTCTTGCTACAACATGAGGTCAGCCCAAGAAACGATCGTTTCAAAAAAGGGGGCAATTTTCCACCCAGTCTTTCTGAGCTTTGGAGAATGAGTATTTTCTAACAATCCGTATTTCTGTAAGTGTTTATAGGATTTTTTTAAGGAAGGATCTTTGCACAGAGTCCTGCAGCGATGCTCGCTGGGCAGGGTGGGGGTGGAAGTGGGCACAGCGAAGCTGAGCATGATGCGTGACCAGGAGAGACCGCCAGAGAAGCAGAAGCACTGACCGATTCTGCCGTTCTGCACATCCTGGCCTCATACAGCGGACGGTCTAGGAATCGCTGGTCCCTTTTCTTTGTTTGTGGGAGAAGAGATGGATGGTCGTGAGGACAGTGACTGTGGGGCCCTTAAAGGGCCCAGTTATCAGATTCCCTTGATGGGGAGTGTTCAAGCACATTCTGACTAATGTGAGTGCTGTGCGTTTTAAGTCACTTCAGTCATGTCCAACCCTTTGCGATCCTATGCTGTAGCCCGCCAGGCTCCTTCATCCATGGGATTTCCCAGGCAAAAATACTGGAGTGGGTTGCCATGCCCTCCTCCAGGGCATCTTCCCAACTCAGGGATCGAACCCAGGTCTGTCCTGTCTCCTACACTGGCAAGCAGATTCTTTACCATGAGTACCACCTGGGAAGCCCTGACTAATGTGGGGAGATGCCATTCATGCCGTGTGATCCCAGCCTCTGCCTTCTGGTGGGTCCATAAACATACCCAGGTCCTCGCTAGGACTTCCTCTCACAGAAGAACCCAAGCCAGAGATGCTGAAGCAAAACCAGCCTCTGCTCAGAAGGCCCAGGAGTTAAACGTGGTGTTCGTGGATAAACCATTCAGGAGGGTTTCTGTCGGAGGAGAGCAGATAACAAAGAGCAGAGGACTGAGCAGCCTGAGCAGAAGTGGAGGTCAGACAGTTTGGTTTGGAGGTTGTAGGTAGCAGGGCATGAAAAAGGATGGATTTCTTCTTTCCTTCTCAGAATATCTGTAGACATTATAAAAGATAGCTCCAAAGCAATAAAAATGTGAAATTTCCAGAAAGGAACTTAAGAGCAGAGCAAATTCCTAGAGCTGAGTGGAGATGAACAAACCACAGATAGGATATAATGTTGGGTGAAACAGCAAAATATGAAGGGGTCTGTGCAGAGATAGAAAACCATATCAGCCTGCAAAAGTGAAAATTAAAATACTTGTATTAAGGTTCAAAAAAACTTGCCCCAGCATAGCCTTGTAGTCTGGAGGCCTTTTGAGGACTTTAGGCTTAAAATGATCCCCTGTCATGGAAATAACTTTTGATTCTTGCCTCTTTTTCATTGGTGTCTAGTCCCTGGGACCCCTGGTGGTGGGTGGTCCACTGACACCCCCGCAGGAGGTCATGTTTGTGGTGACTGTCCCCTTTCAGTATTGTGGGGAACTCCCCAGGGCCCAGCAACTTGCCTTCAAACACTGCTTTGTTTTCCCAGACTTGTTTCCAGCGGATGTTTTGTGTGGAGGCAAGGAGGCCAGCCCTCAGGGAAGAGGCCAGGAGATGGGTGCTAATTCCTCTTGTTTTCACCTGCCCTTTCATGGAGGAGGGGATAAGGTTCAGACAGTTCCACTTTGGCAAGGAGGTGAAAGGAAAACAGCTGAGCTTCTCAGCACAGAGGGAGGAAGGACAGCAGGGCTAAGGAACATGGATGGAAGAGAGTCAAGTCCTTGTAACTTAGCCTCGGTCGGAAGACTGTAAACCAGTGGGACCTCTCAGAAGTCTGTGAGCTTTCTGGACTTCAATGGAAAAAAAGACAAGGTTGAATTAAGAAGTTTCCCAGTGACTCAGTGGCAAAAAATCTGCCTGCCAGTGCAAGAGATGCAGGTTTGATCTCTGGGTTGGGAGGACCCCCTGAAGAAGGAAATGGCAACCCACTCTAGTATTTTGCCTGGGGAATTCCATGGACAGAGGAGCCTGGTGGGCTAGAGTCCATGGGGTCGGACAGGGCTTAGTGACTAAGCAACAGCAACATAATATTTACTCTTTCCCAAAAGGTGCTTGAGTATTTACTTGGGGGTCAGGGAGAGGAGCTATACTTTCAAATTTTATAAACCAAGTTTCAAATTAAAATGTATTTTCCGTGGTGGAGAAGAAATATTAGTGTCCTAAGCACTGCCTAGCGTGCTAGGATGTACCTGGCCTGCCCAGAGGCTCCTGTTCTTACCCTGGCTTTTCGACCAGCCTGGATGAAGTGGCTGTACCTGATACCGCCCCTCCGTAATGTCACCTGCTCTTGAAATGGGAGGACAGGTCTGGGGAGATACCCACAGTGCTTGGGATCATTCTACTGTCCCCTGGGGACACCAGGGCTCATGCTGCATCTGCCCAGGTGTCATCCACTTTATGGGGACAAGATGCCCCCTTCTGGACACCCTGGACAGCTAATTATAAATTCCCATTTTAAAGCCAAAGCCACTGAGGCCTGGAGTGCTTCAGAAATTGGTTCAAAGGCACCCGGCCCCTAGAGAGCAGTGTGGTGTATCTAAGACCCAGGTTTCATGAGTCCCAGGCTGCAGCCAGGCTCATGACCCCACACTCTAAGTCAGAGGCCAGGCCGTAGAGAGAGCGCCCGCTCACCTGGGCCACCTCATCTTCCCTCTCCTGCTGTGGGGTTAGCCTCAGGCCCTGACCACACACACAGACACACCCTTGGAGGGCCAGGCCACTTTCCCCACAGCATTTTCTGTTTTCATTTGTACCCAGAGATAAATGCTTTCTGAAAAACTTCCCTGTGGCCTCCCGGAATGAGGCCGATTAGGCCAAACCTATCTGGGTGCCAGCTCTGCCATTCTGCCTTCCGCGGGGCGCCCCGCACTCTGGACCCACCAGGCGGCCCCATCAGTATCTCTCGCAGGCACACCCCATTTGGCAGAGGCCATATTTACAGTCTCGGGCTGCGGGAAATGAGATTGGGTGTCATACGGCAAGATTGGGACGGACCTCAGAGGAAGTGGGAGCTGTCCCTAACGGCAATTCAGACCCAGGGCCGCTGGGGGGAGTTTGGGCCTGAAAGGTCCCCAGCGGGGTGGCTGGAGGCAGAAGAGCCTTTTTTCATTCTACGCAAGTTGTGTTCTGTCTATCTGCGTCTGACCTGGGAAACAGGCTTAAGAAATCGCGTTGTGAAATAGTGGCAGCGCTAGAGACATGAAATATATTGGGTGACAGGGAGACCACAGCAAAGGTATCTATCTTGATTCCCATTTTTAATTTAAACTTAATGGAAAACACATTTTGCATTTTGTGGCGCTCGCACCAGCCGCCTCAGATGTTTGGGCAAAGGTGATGGGTCCCGGCAATTAAGCGGTTGAAGTATTACCCCTTCCAGGCCGGGTCTGACCGGTGAAGGAGAACAAAAGGCCAGGTTTCCCCAGATTCAGCCGTCAGCCAGGCTGTTTCGAGCACAGAGCCTCCTTCCTCCTCCCTCCCCACCTGCACCCTCCAGCCAGAGCCATTGATGGCAACGCAGAGAAAAGGGAGTCCAGCTTCAATAGGCTGGCAGCGGGGCTGGCGGGGTCTCTGCAAGGCGGGAGACAAAGCCTTTGGCGCTCAGACAGTCATTGTCTCGCCTGCAGGTGCCCCAGATGAAGACCAGGTCCGTTGTGGGGGCCGGGGGGGGCACGGGGCTGAAGAAAGCCCGATTGTTGGGCTCCCCACACCTGCAAGCTTCCCTCTGTTCATTTCCATCCTCTTTCAGATCCCAAATACTGTACCAGTGACGGATGGACTCGACAATGGGAAATGATTTTGTCCTTGTGCTTTCACGTGGGGAAGCCTGTTCCATTAGCAGCAGCCGCTCCGCGCTTTCCAGGGCCCCCAGTACGTAGATAAACATGGATGCCTGCATGCATGCATAAAGACATCAACAGAGAAGGCAACAAACATTTTAATTGAAGTATTGAACAGAGAGAAGTGCAAAAATCATAAATGCACAAGTCAAGGAATTATCACAGTGTGAAGCCACTCACTCATATGAGCACCCCCATGTGTCCCCTCTCCATCAACCTTCTTTCCCCAAAGCAACCACTGTCCTGATTCCAGCACCTTCAGTGAGTGCTGCCTGTCTCTTAGCTGTAGCCTGGAGGCGGTAGGTCTGCTGGACTGAGGGCAGGGTTCGTCAATAGACCAGAATGGATATCCTGTTTCCTGGGCTTGCTGGCTGTGTGACCCTGGCAGATTGCTTGACTTCTCTGAATGTTGATTCCCTCATCTGTATGAGGATTAAGTGAGGGAACAGAGAGAAAGCATCCGGCACACGGCATCAGAGCATAGGCTTCCCTCCTCGCCGCCCAGCCTGTTTCTTCTGACCAGGTGGCGTTCACCGCACACAGAAGGGGCCCCAAAGCAGGAGGGAGAAGTCCCAAGCCAGGGAGGGAGAGGCTGGGCTCCAGGGAGGACCTTCCTGCCTCCAAATGAATTCCTTTAAGGAAAGAGTGTGCCTTGCCACTCTCTGTAGCCTGAGGAACTGGCTAAATAAACTGGTTAAATGAAAACAGGAGGAGAGAAGGAAAAGTTGGTCCCTTGGGAAGGAGGTCAGACTCCCCGAGTCAGCCCTCGACGAGCAGGCAGGCAGCCTCTCCTTCTACGGGGGAAACGTGAACCAAGAACAGTCTTCAGGGTAGAATCCTTCTCCGGGGTTACCATGAAATATGTATTTCATGGAGGCTTTGCCAAGGTCAAACGACCCTTTCTGTAGGCTTTCTGGGAGTTTCCTGTGGAATTCACGTGTGCCCAAAGAACTTTCACCAAGGGGAGAATTTAATAAATGCGGTTTATCTAAGCTTCGTGCTCTCTGCTGCATCTGCGCTAATGACTCAGGCAGTTCAGTCCTCTGAGACCATCATTTTTCTTTATTTGCTCTAGCCATGAGGTTTCCGCCCGAGGCAGAGAATGTCGGGGACAGAGAGGCAGACATTCTTGGTCTTACTCGGGAGACTGTTTTCGCTTCCCTCGGAACGTTTGCTTTCTTTCTGTAGCCTCTGTCCAGTCATGGAGGGTTGCTTCTTATTGCAGCAGAACTCATTCATAACTCTAGTTCCAGAGGACAAGACAAATGCCCAGCAAGCTCTTTTATAAAGAGCTTATTGTATGTCATTGTGGTGTCTGCGGGAGAAGGGATGTAAAAATAATCGTGCTAGGGCCTAGCGTGCTTTGAACACTCATTGTGAGCCAAGGTCTGTTGTGAGCAGTTGTGTGTATTACTTGATTCGGTCTTCACAACAACCATATCAGGTAGGTGTTATTATTATCCTGTTTCATGGAGGAGGAACCTGCGGCTTAGAGAGATGAGGTAGATTGATGGAGGTCACCAGGCTGGCAAGTGGTGAGAGGCAGGTCTGACTCTAAACTCTCATTCATATAAAGATCTATATTAGATGAAGTGTAAAAATCACTTTGTGCTCGACTTCTTTGAGAATGGAATAACCAAATGCATCCGGTTCTCGGATATTCCAGGCACATGACTGCCTTCTTTCTAAAAGTATCTCCACCTAGCCACGCTTTGGCACAGAACTGTCTCAATCCCACCAGCATCCCTCTACCTTTTTTTTTTTTCTTTTTTGCCTGGAACCATTTCAGAGCTGAAAGGCATAGTCACCCAAGCCCAGAGTCAGTGATTCTAGCCAGTTGGATGGTTCTTCCAAAATTTTCTTGGTCGCCCGGCCTGAAAGGGCCCACGGCTTCTCTGAGGCACACAACCAAACGCCCACGTCTGGGCGAGGCAGGCGCTCCACTCCGTGTCCCTTCCGTGACTTGAGGCTAAAAATAGGAATGTCTGGCAGCCCATTCCCTGCTCCGAGCCCTGGCACCTAAGTCGGTCCACTTGGTCCCAGGGATCAGGGAAAGGATTGTTCAGAAAGACTTTTTAGCCTCCAACACTCCTGTCCAGGCTCTTGTGTCCTTTGTAAAAACAGATCCTAGCCCTCTGGATCAAACTTCAGAGGCTCAAGGCGGAGGGCAAAAATGCCTGCATTTCCCAAAATAAAGCTCTTGAGCTTGCTGGAAACAGAGGAACAAGCCCAGTTTTAGGAATGGGCTCAGTTGCTCAGTCATGTCCAACTCTTTGCGACCCCATGGACTTTAGTCCTCCAGGCTCCTCCTGTCCATGGGATTTCCCAGGCAAGAATACTGGAGGGGGTTGCCATTTCCTCCCCCAGGGGATCTTCCTGACCCAGGGATCAAACTTGCCTCTACGACATTGGCAGACAGATTCTTTACCACTAGTGCCATCTGGGAAGCCTAGGTTTTAAGAAAGAGGGGAGAATTTTTTTACATGCAAGGTAAGAAAAAACTAGAAAATGCCCAGACTAGTGTTTGCTAAGAGTAGTTCTGCATGAACATTGAATTTTAAAAGATTGTATATCAGCAACCTTTGATGACAGGAAATTCAGTGTATTATGGCTTATGTCTAGTTGTAGTCTCTTAGATGTGAGTAAAGGGAAACGAAAGTTGCTCTGAGGAGCGTTGCCACCCCCACCCCATTCCCAGCTTCCAGCACTCTCTCCACCAATGTGACCATTCAAGCACCTCGCCCACCTCTCTACCCAAAGGACATCAGAGCAGGAAGGACCTGGCCAGGCCTCTCCTCCAGGGCATGGGAGTGCAAGCAGCAGCCGAATCTGGCCAGCATTTGCCCGTGGACAAAGCAAACAGAGAGATGTTCCACAAAGGTGGTATTCAGCCCACAGAGACTGAAATATTTACTATCTGGTCTTGATAAAACGTTTGCCAGTGCTGCTTGCAGTTCAAGATGAAGAAATCGAGGTGCAGACCAGTAAAGTCCCTCATTCATGGTCACACAGGGAGTCAGTCACAGGACCAGGACACCGTCCACAGCCGTGTGTCCCTGCTGGGTTATAGTGTGGACCCAAGAACTCCAGATCCTTAGTCATGGCCACTGCGAGGGCATGTGTGTGACCCACCCACGAGCAGTCCGTCCTAGCTTCCTCGGACCCTGACTCTAGGAACCTCTGACAGTCTTGCATGATTGGCCCCCCAAATGGCTGGCATTAACTTTTTCTTTCTCTCAAGGAGTTGTCTGTCCCACCATCCTTCTCCCTGTCTCCTCTGCTCCCCAGTTCATTCTCATCCATCCCATTTCCTGGTCTTGATCTCGGAAGTTTGTCTGGGACACAACCTGATGTTTTTGCTTCATCTTTCAGGTTCACTGTTGGCCTATAACACAACCTCCCACACAGACCCGTCCTCACGGCTGAATGTCAAAGAAGGTGAGTGGTTCTCTCAGGCACATAGAATTGTAGAAATGTCCTCTGTACCAGTCCAGCACTGTCTGTGATGGGAAGACTGGGGTGGGGAACCTTAAGTGTGGGCCCCAAGTCTCTTGTCCACTCAGCTGTTTTAGAAGCCTAAGCTGATCCCCTTTGAGCTGCTCATTGCAAAAACATGACAGGGGTGTAAAATACCTTGTGATAATATCATAAACATACGACCTGAACCTGTTACTCCATGAAGGAAAGAAAGCCTGTTGCTCTTGGAAGGAAATGGATGCTACTCACTTTCAAAGCTGAAAGGCAGGGGCTTTCTCTGTTGAAGGAAATGAAGTGAAGATTTCGAGGATTCTTGCAATGTCACATTTTCAGGGGTTTTTGGTTAAGACATTTTAGCACTACCAGTTCATTCTCAAAGTGCTTACTTGGGGATATGGTCTAGTTCGCTTGGTTTGGTTTGGTTGAGAGAGAAAGAAAATCATCTCAGCAAATGGTTTTCGCTGGTGAGGGTTTTAACAAACATTATAGTACATTTCTCATCATCTCTATTTGTGGAACAGTATTGTGGAGATTTCCTGCTCCAGATGCTGTTAAATTCTGGGCGTTTAAACAAGTGAATAATTCATAGTACCTGGTTTAAGGAAGAAAAAAATGTGAATGAAAAAATATCTGCCCAAGGCAAAAGAAAAATTTCATGGAGGAGGGGCATTTTGAGTGGGGCCTTGAAGGATGAGTAGGAGCATGATGAGCACTCTCTTCCTTGGCTCTGTTTCCTTCAATACTTTTCCTTTAATGCCCACCTGCCACATGGAATGAATGAAGGCAGAAGTTGTTGATATTGGTTGCATGGAATTAGCACAGCATAATATTGCAGAGAAACATAAGGCTCTTCTACAGGAAGAATCTTATAGAATCTTATAGTTCAAAACTGTCATGGAGGAAACAGACCCAGTGAGCTTGGGTGTTTTGACCAAGTTCACACCTTCTGTCACGTGAGACTTCCTGTTTCCTGTTAACAATTTATAATCAGATCATGACCAGACAGTTCTGTGGAGGAAGTATTCAACCCAATGAATCTGTGAACTTTCCTGGTTTTCTGCAACTTTCTTCACCTCCTACTCCACCCTGGGCCAGTCCTATTTATGCTACTGTTTTCTTTCAAAATCAGAGTTACTGGCTTTTGCCATAAAAAACCTGAAGTCATATTGACTCATTGTACAGTCCAAGCCACATTTTATTAGGTGACCCACTTAACCGTCGCACTGCAGACGTCCATAAAAGAGAAAATGTGCTACAATGACAAACACATTAGACTGAGGTCGGAACACCTCTGGTTTACTTTGGGGAAATCACTTCATGCCCCGAACCTCAACTTCCTGTCAAGTAAAAGGGCCAAATTAAGCCATTAAGAGGGCTTCCCTGGTAGCTCAGTGGTAAAGAATCTGCCTGCAATGCAGGAGACTGGGATTCGATCCCTGGGTTGGGAAAATCCCTTGGAGAAGGGAATGGCAACCCACTCTAGTATTCTTCCCTGGAGAATCCCATGGACAGAGGAGCCTGGCAGGCTACGGTTCACAGAGGCGCAAAACAGTTGCACACACTGCAGCACACAGACAAGCCAGGAAGAATCCTCCCTGACTTTGGAGTTCTTGGGTTTTAAGGAGATCACCCTGCAGCCCCAGGTGAGGTTCTGCTTCCATCCAGGGCCCCCCCTCTGCTCTGATGAGCTTTCATTTCACCTGCAGGTAGGGACCCACTTCTTGCAAGGAAGGAGGAAGAGAGGGAGGAAGGAAAGAGTGAAAGAAGGCAGTCAGGAGACCCCTGAAGCTCGTGCAGGGCTACAGGCTGAGACCTGCTGATGACAGCGGGACTAACCAGTGAGACTGTGGGGCAGACACAGTGAGAGGAATCTGATATTGGACTTTAAATACAGATTTCTGTGAAGAAGCAAGTGTGTCTGGGTTGAACTGATTATTGACTGATTATTATTGTGCTGGTTATTGACTCATGACTCCTGCATGGGTCTTAGCGCTCAGCCTGTCCTCTACCTGCACCACGCCCCTTCCTTTCCTGGGTCCTTTTGTGTCTGTACAGTGCCAGGCCGGGCCCTCTGGGGCTTCTGCAGGAGCAGCTCCTCTTCTGAAATGAATGAACTGCGGTCTCCAGGCAAGCGAGCGCTGCCAGACCCTCAGTCAGGTGGCGCCAGGCATTTATCTCCCAGCATTGGCCCTGGTCTCTGGAGACGTCTACGCTTTGCAGGTGCATCTTTTGTCCACCCGTAAAGCTTTCCACTTGAGATGTCTTGCTGCTCCAGCGGCTCCCCCCTCAAGAGGTGGTCCGATCTGTCTAAATGGCCCATGGTCCACAAAACAAAAGTACATTAGCAAGACAAAGCTAGCCACGCTCCTCGCTCCCTCCCTTTCACCCTCCACCCCACCCCTCTCTCTTCTGCTTTTCTCTAAGAGCAATCTTGAGTTCTTAAAATTTTAAATGGAAAAATAAAATAAAGAGAAGGCATGGTGCAACCTTAGCTCCGCCTTCTTTGAATAAGGCACACACACAACCCCAAAGAAACCCAGAGTCGCTCAAGAGATCCGGAGCTCTGTGTATATGTGTGAGTGTGTTTCACAAAGGACAGGTGCTGGCATCAAGCACAAAAGAAAGAAGTTAAGGAGGTGAACGCTTCTGTGAATGCTTCTTCACTGTGCTTATCCAGTGAGAATGCCTTTTTACATTAAAATGGCATAATCACCCTTCCAGCTTGTCCCTTGAAAACCGTTGTACTCTCTAAGGGTTATTGGTGCCCGGGAAGTAAGACTAGCTTTTAAAAATCAATTTGTAACAGTCTTTAAGCTTCTTTTAAGCTGTTGTTGTTATTGTTGTTGTTTTTGATGTGGACCATTTGTAAAGTCTTTATCGAATTTGTTACAATTTTGCTTCTGTTGTTCATGTTCTGGTTTTTTGGCCCCAAGGCATGTGGGATCTTAGCTCCCCTACCAGGGATCAAACCTACATCCCCTGCATTGGAAGACAAAGTCATAACCACTGGACTGTCAGGGAAGTCCCTAAACTTTTTAAAGTTAAGTATTCTGTGGTCGCAGATTGGACCCAGCTAGAACAATTATGTTCTCTCTACCTGTTACCAGGGCTAATGCACTTAGAAAATAAATTAGAATGGAAGCAGTTGTTGAGACGATGAGATGGTTAGCTAGCATCACTGACTCAATGGACATGAACTTGAGCAAACTTCAGAACATAGTGAAGGACAGGGAAGCCTGGCATGCTGCAGTCCCTGGGGTCACAAAGAGTCGGACATGACGTAACTGCTGAACAACTGTGACAGTTGTTACCTGTTGGCAAGAGCAGCCTCCACTGTCCCCTGTCCGGGACTCTGCGGTGCCCCAGGTGCTCTCACAGGCTTTGCCTTGCGGGCAACGTCCTGCGAGGTAGACAGAATCAGCCCTGTTTTTCAGATAGAGAAACTGAGGTTCAGGACTGTTAGTGGTTACTTGAAAGACACACAGCTATTTAACAACAGAACAAGGATTCAAACCCAGGCTGTAGGATTCAAAATCCCTTGCATCAGATCATCCTCCTGACAAACACAGCATTTCCCTTCTAGCTGGCTTTTCATAAAAGCAGCACCTTGTCTAACTGTAGTGTGGGTGGAGACTTGAATTTTTTCCATTATGTTTCCCTGTCCCTGCAGTTTTCTCACTATCATCTCCAACCACATCCATGCGTTGTCCTCTCTTCCCAAAAGTGACTTCATACAGAGCCCCTGCTTGGCTTACTCCCTCGTCCTAACTGAGCAGAGAATGAGCTGGAGAACTTCGTAAAATAACTGATGCCCTAGGACAAATATTGTATGACTCCACTCACAGGTGGAACTTTAAGCCAACAAATTCAGAGACTAGAGAAGTAGCAGGGTGGTTGCCAGGGGCTAGAAGGAGGGAAGAATGGGGAGTTATTGTTTAATGGGCACACAGCGTTTCAGTTTGGAAAGATGAAACAGTTCTGATAGTGATGATGGTTGGACAATGTGAATGTACTTAATGCCACTGGAATGTACACTGAAAGATGAGCAAAATGGTAAATTTTATGTAGCGTATGTTTTCCCACAATGAAAACTGCAAAAACACATGAAAAAATGTTCAACATTGCTAATTGTTAGAGCAAGGCATATCAAAACCACAGTGAGGTACCACCACACAACAATCAGAGTGGTCATCATCAAAAAATCTACTTCTGCTGGAAGGGATGTGGAGACAAGGAAACCCTCCTACACTGTTGGTAGGAACATAAATTGGTGCAGCCACTATGAAAAACAGTATGTAGGTTCCTTAAAAACTAAATCCAGAGCTACCATATGATCCAGCAATCCCACTCCTGGGCATAAATCCAGAAAAGACAAGAACACTAATTCAAAAAGATACGCACACCCCGATGTTCATAGCATCACCATCTACAGTAGCCAAGACAGGGAATCAACCCAAGTGCCCATCAACAGATTAATGGATAAAAAAGATGTGATATATATACCATGGAATATTAGCTATTAAAAAAGAATGAAATAATGTCATTTGCAGCAATATGGATGGACCTAGTGATTATCCAACCAAGTGAAGTGAATTGGTAACAGAAAGACAAATATTATATGATATCGCTTACATGTAGTATCTAAAAATAGTGTAAATGAATCTATTTACAAAAAAGAAACAGATTCACAGGCATAGAGAAACAAACTTGTGGTTACCAAAGGGAAAAGGGATAAATTAGGAGTATGAGATTAACAGATGCATACCACTGTGTATAAAATGACAATAGGAATTTACTGTATAATAATCCCAATTTATCCCTTCCCCTCTGGTAACCCTAAGTTTGTCTTCTTTGCCTATGAATTAAATATGTGTGTGTGTGTGTGTGTGTGTGTGTGTATATATATATATATATATATATATCTCCATATGTATGTATGTAATCTGAATATATATTATATA